CTTCCGTATAGCCCTTAAAACCTGGCTGTTCCAACAGGCCTGGGGCTAAAGATTCGCTGCCCCTATCTCGAATGGTATGATTGTTGCGCTCACAAATTTATGGTAAAATCCTGCATATATAAAAGCAAACAAAGAATGCAGATATAAACTCACAACACTGCAACCCGGACAATCTGGGCCATTTTCACAAGTTCGGTGGCGAGCCTGAATGCCTCCTCCACACTGGGCTGTGCAACGTTCCCATACACCCCAGCCAGTCCAGAACACATGAGGAGAACACAACAAATGCTCATTGCAATACCTGTAAGAAGGAAAGCAAGGTCAGATTTAATGTGGTCCTTAATGTGCTGTTGCATTAATATGATTTATCAATATGCTTGTCTAGAAATGAAAGAAAATCAAATTACAGACATCATCCCCTTTTGAGCTTGGATCAGGTGATTTTGCCTTGGGATGCAAAAATAACATGATTTCATATTCCTATCATTGTTTAGATTTTCTGTCGTCTCTCCCCCCCCCCCCAAAAAAAAAAATATTCTCTTTTCTTTCTTTTTTTCCCCTTTGAAAATTATTTAGAGTCTCTTAGGAGCATTATTCCAGCAGCCTGCAGGATAGTGCTAGCATTCAGTAAGTGTGATCAAGAGATTGCCACAAGCTGTTTGTGATAGGCTTATGTTCTGACGGAGTGATCAAGAGGCCTCTCCATTGTGATTTTGAAATAGCTGTTTGGAGCAGAAATGCTTAACACCAGCCGGCTCAACCAAGTACTCAAAGAACATGGGCAGCTGCTGCAAGGTGGATGATGAAGCTAGCTTGGTGAAATGTACTGCAACTAAGAGAGCTGAAAAGGAGAGGAGTAAATAAAGGAACACTAAAGGACAACCTAATCTACTCTTTTGTTTTGGGGGGAAAAAATGTATCTTCAAAGTTTCTTCTTAGAGATGTTTCTAACTCCACCTCAAATAGAGGTTCCCCACAGGGCTGTGTCTTGAATCAGTTACTGTTCACCTTGATGGCCCATAACTGCCGTGCCACGTCTGTGCCGAATCATATTGTGAAGTATGTGGATGACGCGGCAGTGGTGGGGATTATCCGGGAACAGGATGAAGATTCTTACAGGGAAGAGGTAAAGGCTTTGGTGGACTGGTGCGCGCATTTGTCGGTGAACCAATAGTATTAAGTAACTGGGGTCGCAGATAACCCACAATCTGACTTGGCCTCTTCATATATTATCTTTAGTGAAGGGTGCAAATGAACATTTGCATTGGATGAGGAAAGTACATCTTTCTCCTTTTGTCCTGGCCACTTTTTACAGAGGCACAACTGAGAGTGTTTTAATAAACTAGTTTGGTGGCAGCAATGCCTCAGACAGAAGGTCCATACAGAGAGTGGTAAGGACAGCCAAGATGATTATAGGAAACTCGCTTCCCGTTATTCAGTCTACTGCTTATAAGCGCTATGTGCTTAGAGCTCGACGCATTAAGACCCTACATACCCACTTCACCTAGAAAGGAATACTGTTAATGTAAAATGGCACAGGGTGGGAGTACTAGATTTGGTCTGCCATCCCATCAGAATGACCTTTGTATTCAGATAAGCATGACTTCTCCATTATCTCGGAAAGATAGAGAGATCCTGAGTTCTATTATTTGTTCCAGCTCACTCTGCCCAGTTTTTCAGTTATGTATGGTACTTTGTGAACTCTGACAGGTACCTTACCTAGCCAAATGATTTTTTTTGAGTGGAAATAACCATTGCAGGGGGTTTTTCTGCCTCAAACCAGTGATCAGTTCCATCATGTTGAAGAAGAGACATCACTAGTTCTTTCAGAAACTCTTTCTTCTTTCTTACCCATTGCAAGACTACTTATTATAAATTTTTATCACATTCTGTCCCATAACAAAGTTAGAAGAACAATAGCTTTTATGAAAATTGACATGCTTGCGAAGCTCCATGTTTTTTGCAAACATCTTTTTCATTCTGCTGGGAAAAGTGACATCAATAGGTTCGTAATCTTCCCATGCTTAAAAAAAAAATGTATCTTTTAAACTCCTAATCCGGGCAAAAAGTAGAATTGAGCCACCTCTGGAGAAACCACCTCTGACTATATCCAATCATTTACGGAACTCCGGACTGGGCCTTTAAACTAGAAAGCCTTGTTTCTGCACAGCCTTAATTATAACCACAGGAGGCCTTAATGCCAGCCTCACTCAAGCAGGGGTTTTATCAATTTATGCCACTTATGGATAGCCATGCAGTTTTACCTGTCTTCCATTTCACTCAACTTCACACACAGTTCAGATAGTAATAGCTGACAATTGGGAGCTGGTACAGTACCAAAGCTCTGATTTTAATATTTTTGAAAAGTGTTTTTGCATTTAATAAAACAAAGAGGCATGGTGCCGGTTTTATAGTTTCCTCCCGATATGCAGAGCACACAAGTGCGTTCCCTGCAGCAAAGAGCAAGCAAGGCCCAGAAATCTCAAATATGGTTCAAAGTCTCATTTCCAGAATGAATCTGCTGGAACACAGGACTCTGAGCAAAGCCCAATTAATCCTCTTGGAAGCATTTCAAGCTAGCAGGTAATGCTTTCCCCCTGCTGATATTCCTCTCCCTGTTATTTATTTTTATTTTCTCAAAACTCAAGAGGATTTACGGTTTGCAAAATAAACAATACAAGAGTATTAGGTCTCTGACTTGTAGACCTCTGCACTGACCTGGTGTCCGGAAATGATGAGATAGAATTGAGAAGGTGACATGGAAAAACTCTCAAGCAAGTAATATGACCGTTGACATAGCCAAACAAGCCCTGCTCAGCTTCCAAAGTGGTCAACAGTTTTAAGTAATGAGAAGGAAGAGAAAACAACAAGCTAGTTCCTTCCATGACCCGTCAAAACCGCGGTCCACTAAAGCGCGCCCGATTAAAGCGCGTACCTGACGTCATCAGCAGCGCGACGAAAAAAATTAAAATTAAAATAAAATTAAAATAAAATTAAAGCAAG